CCCACCAACACTCACCCCCTGCTCCCAAACCACACACCCACCCCGCTCACCACACACTCACCCCCCCCCCACCCCCACCTCCTGCCCCCCCACCACCCCCTTTGCTCACCCAAACTCACCTCCCCGCCCACACACTCACCTCCTGCCCACCCACATCACCTCCTTTCTCACCCACCCTCCTGCTCACCCCACACCCACCTTTTGCCCGCCCCACATCACCCCCCCTTTCCCCTCACACACTCACCCCTGCTACCTCACATCACTCCTGCTCACCCCCCACCACCTCCTGCCCCCCCCACACACCCTCCTCCACCCAACTCACCCCCTGCCCCCCCCACTCCCTCCCGCCCACCAGACACCCATTCCCATCACCACACACTAACCTCCTAACCCCCACACATCACCTCTGCTCACCAACATGACCCCCTGCCACACACCCTCACCTCCTGCTCACCAACACTGACCCTCCTGTCACCCCACACTCACCCCCTGCTACCCACACCTCCTGCTCACCCCACTCACCTCCTGCTCACCACACATCCCCTCCTGCCCACCCAAAACCCTTCCTACTCACCACACACTCCCTCTACTCACCACACACTACCCCCTATACCCCACACTCCCTCCCGCCCCCCACACACTCACCTCCCCCCACCCCACATCACCTCCTGTCACCACACACCGCTCTCCACACACCCCCCTCCACCACCCACCCCCTCCGCTCACCACACACCACCTCCTGCCCACCACCACCCACCCCTCCACCAAAACCCCCCAACCCCCCCAAAAACACCCACCCCCTACCCACCCCCCCCCTCCCACACCCCCCCCCCACCCACACCCCCTCTTACCACACACCCCCTTGCTCACCACACAACCCCCCCCCCCCCCTCCCTCCTTTTTCTTTTAAAACCCCCCACCTCCTGCCCCCAACCCCCCCCCCACACACCCCCCCCCCCCCACCTCCCCTTGGGAAAACCCACCTCCTGTACCCCCAACCCACCTCCTGCTCCCCACCCTCACCTCCGTACACCCTCCCTCTTTACCCCCACCATCCGCTCAACACCTACCTCCGCTCCCCCCCCACCCCTGCTAAAAATCCCTCCGCCACCAAACCACCCCTCTCCCAAAACCCCCCTCCTGTCCACACACCCCCTTAAATCCCCTTTCCTTTTGTTAGGGGGTCGGGAGATTTCATTGTCTATTCCCATATTTTTCGAGTTTTTTTTTGTTATCAAAAACACAACCTCTCCCTCGTTTCTTTTTTTTTTTTTGACATTTATTTCCTTTTTACCAGGGAAACAAAATATATTTTAAAGGGCGCTTTAGAAAATTTTAAAATAAAAAATTTTTTAAAAATAATTTTTTTTTAAAAATTTTTTTAAAAAATTTTTAATAATAAAAAATTTTTTAAAATAAATGGTGGGGGGTTTTGGGGGGGGGTTTTGGTTGGGTGTTTTTTGGGGGGTTTGTGTTGGGTTTTGGCTGCTGTGGGGGTGGTTTGGGGGGGTTTGGCGTGGTGTTTTGTTTGGCGGAAGGTTTGGGGAGGGGAGGGGAGGGGGGGAGAATTAAATCACAAAAACTACTTTGGCTTCCCCCCAACCAACACCCGGGGAAAACTCGGGCCCCCAACCCCCACCCCCACCACCAACCACCACCCAAACACCCAAAACAACCACCCAAACAAACACCAAACCAAAAACCCCCCCCTTTCAACCCAACACACACAACACACACACACACACACACACACACACACACACACACACACACACACACACACACACACACAAGCGTTCCCCGGCTAACTTCCTCCAGAGAAGTTACGCGAACGAACAGGGATAGTATGAAAAAAAAATTAACAACCCACCTTCCCCACCAAAAAAAAAACATAATGCGAATTTTGTGAGCGTCTTATAAGGTATTGAAACCACGACTGCCCCAAGAACGTGTCTGAACGGCACCACAACAGTACGTAACTCTCAGATTAACCTCAAATTTACGTTCGCCGGAATAGGGTCCTAATTTTCAGTGTTTTCGTATTCGTGAGCACTAGCCACCATCCGGATTATATATATATTTTTATATCTTTTCCACCACAAGTGAACTTTCGGGACCTGTACCGAGTGGTGGGATGGGGAAAAGGCGCATTCAGAACAGCGACTGACGGACGCGGAAGAAGCTTCGAATGATTTTCTCTCCGCCTCACGAAGGCCAAACATCATCCTCCTAGCTAACATGCGTCACCTGTGTTCAATTTACAATGTTTCCTCTTTTTGTGTGCGTGTCTCTCACGGTAACTTTAGCCCTGAAAACCAGGTAGCCTTCTTCACAAACCGGTAAACTAACTCGAAATTTAGGAGGCTCTCGCAGAATCCAGTAGTCTCCTTCAAAATTAAGCAAACTCGCAGAATAAGATACATTCCCTCAAAATGCGATGGAAGCTCTCATATTCCGAAAAAACGATTCAAAATCCGTTTTTTTTTTTTTTTTTTTTTTTTTAATAATTTAAGCGCTAAACCCATATGGGTCATTCAGCGCAAGACGTGGTGGAGGCTTGATCCTCCGTCTGCTGAGCTCGACACAGACGCCTTCCTATTCGTACTCACCCGTTTGCATCAAAATCCGGTAACACTTCTTCAAAATCCGGTAAATACCTTCAGAATTGGGTCAACTCGATCAAAATCCCGTGGACTTCCTAAAAATCCGGTAAACTCCCATAAAACCTTGTCATTGTAAATATGCAGGAGGTAAATGAATGAGTAAGAATACATATACCAGGAGAAAGCAGTAAAATTGTACATGAAAAGAGAGAAAACAGAAATGCACATTAGAGTGCGAGAGACGTTAGAAAAAGAGGACGAATGTGGAAATGAGATGCATAAAATATAGCAAGAATTGAATATGGAATAAATTCAAGAACAGAAGGATTGTACACTTGTACACGAGAGCGAGACAGCGAGCTAGATAGATAGATAGATAGATAGATAGATAGATAGATAGATAGATAGAGAGAGAGAGAGAGAGAGAGAGAGAGAGAGAGAGAGAGAGAGAGAGAGAGAGAGAGAAGGAGCAAAGAAGGCAAGGAACAAGTAAAGAATAGAAAGTAAGCGTTTGGACGACAGATAGATAAGTAGGTAAGTGTATTGGGGAGGCCAGGGAGGTGGATGGGTAATAAGGATAGGAGGAGAAAGAAAAATAAGATACACTCCTCAACAATATATTCACTTAAAAAGCGTCCCTGCTCAAGACAGCCAGCAAACACAACAAGTGGTCGTGTAGGACAGCTTCCTGCACCTACTCAGTGTCAGGACCAGTTGCTGACACGCGTGTAAACAATGCTCCATATATAGACCTGCTCGTCATCCCGCTAATTAACAGATGTCACTCAGCAGGCAAGAAGCTGGACCTTGAGCAGGTGGGACATCGACTCGCTTGTAGTTCGAGCCGTTAGTCCTTAAAAAAAGCCATTCGCCTATGATGTGAGCTGTCATAGCCTTTATAAGCCTCTATCTTACAGGTCAGACAATTACAGTCCTATAAAAAGTCCCTCTCTGTGATGTGAGCTATCATAGCCCTTAAAAACCAACACCAACAATAACAACAACATTCGTCAATTTCTGGGTTACTGAAGCCGAGAACAAAACTGACAGTAATTAACCTAAATATACTTTACGTTAAACGCAGATAACCACATTACGTAAACGGTAAAGCTGGATATATATACACCATCATGGTTTAACTGGCTGGAAACTACACGCTTGTTTGTACGAGGCGAGGACGTGATCTCACTAGTCAGGGTTGATTGTTCTCTTCTTGAAAGTTTTATGTTAAGGTGTTGTCTCAGTTTGTTCGGTGTGACGTTGCGGTATATTTACCGATTTAGCGCGGATTTTTTTTATAATGTTGGTTAATTAATTAATTATTAATAATAAAAGATATTAATAATAAAAATTAATGAAATAATAATAATAATAATAATAATAATAAAAATAAGAAGAAGAAGAAGAAGAAGAAGAAGAAGAAGAAGAAGAAGAAGAAGAAGAAGAAGATTCAAATCCTACATAATACCTTTAATATATTTTCCCTTTGATGCACGGGGAGAAAAACGTGTATATATTAAAGTCGTAAGGACGCGCCTTTCCAAATTTACCGAGATATAACGTGCATTTAGCGACGTATGTCATGAGAAGCACAGGTTATTTCGTACCCTCTTGAAGAAATATGGTCCTGATGAGAATTTTTCCGGTCTCTTAAATCCCTTTAGTATGATTTACGAAAGCTGTGAGTGTTGTTATGTCATGGCTGTGTTGTTTCCTGATTTAATCATCTTTTAAATATTCTCATTTTTTTTTTGGGGGTGGGGGGAGTTAATTTAAACACCTTCACTAAGTTGTAGCAACAGATCTACGAGTGTAAGTGTGGAGTTACCACTTCTGTTACTGCAACCATTGATCTTGTAAACAGTTCAATACTACTGTTACGGCATTCATTGTTTCGTAAATATTTCTTGACTGCTGTTATTGTGTCCATTGTTCTTGTAAAAGGTCATTACTATTGTTACTCCACTCACTGTTCTTGTAAACTGCTTGTTACTATTGTTACTGTATCCATTGTTCTTGTAAACAGGTCATTACTATTGTTACCCCACTCACTGTTCCTGTAAACTGCTTGTTACTATTGTTACTCTATCCATTGTTCTTACAGACAGGTTATTATTACTGTTACTACATCCATTGTTCGTGTGAACATTAAACTGTAAACTGTAGTTAACTGAGTGATCGGACCCACTCATTTTTTTTCTGCAGCCTTTGGACTACCGTCCACAGGAGGGGTAGAGTGTAACTGCCTTCCACAGGAGGGTTATGGGATGACTGCTATCCACAGGATGGGTATAATCCTGACTACCGTTCACAGGATGTGCGCATGTTAAAGTAATTATATAGATCATATTACCCACAAGAATGATGTTTCTCACGGTGACTTCTTTCCTTCCCCAGGCAGCGTTTGTCCCCACAGTGGGTGCCTGATGTTGGTGCCGCGGGCCACCCCAGTCTGTGCCATGCCTGCTGCCTCGCCCTCACGCCCCGGCCCGCCAGCCCCACGCCCATTCACCCCAGCCCCCGCCTACGCCCACTACCACATGGCGGCCATCCACTCATCGCAGGTGGGCAGCGGGTACAGCCGTTCATCAGTGCCCGGGCCACGCTACATGGGTGTACCACCCGGAACTCATCTAGCTGCGGCTCTAACCCAGCCCTCACCCCCAGGGATGCCCCGGTCCCGCTCCCCTCACCCGTCCCTTGTGCAATATGAGGGCTCAGGGCACTCCCCCAGGGTCATGCCGCCCACCTTCAGGCCCTTCGGGATCCACGGGTCTCTCAGCTCGCCTAAACAAGCGTCGGTATGCCCCGAGGCTCGCACTTCTTACCCTGTGCCAGACCTTCCCGAAACCCACCCGATGCCCTGGCCCTCTGATGCCCCTCTTCCCGCCTCTGACATGCCCTTTGATCTCTCGACACACAATCGAGAGCCTCGCATGTCCCCTGCGTCTCGCCCTCTCGATCTCTCCGAGTGCGAACAACCTCTTGACCTTCGTGTTAAGAAGCGACACCCGGTTGAAGACGAGAATATGAACATCGTGGAGCGCCACACCCCGCCTTCCATTCCTCGGAGAGCACCTTCTCCGAAATATGTCTCGCCCCGAAGAGTACCTTCACCGAAATATGTCTCGCCCCGAAGAGTGCCTTCCCCGAAGTATGTGTCTCCCTTGCACGACTTCAGGTCGCAGCACGTGCATGATCTTGCCTCGTCTTCGGTGGAGGGTGAGCACCAGGTCAAGAATACCACGTTACAGCTAGTGCCGGTGACAAGTGTGGTGACTTCCCGAAACCCACCGACGGTGGTGTATCCTCAGGCGGTGCATCAGAGACTGCACCAGCCGGTGCCAGTCTACTCTAGTGCCTGCCGACCCCTACCTCCTGCCGGAACCGTCCGGCCTCCTTACCCAGTCATGGGTATCCCTCACAACGCTTACCACATAGGCCCCTCCCAAGGCCCCCCACAGCTGGTGCCTGGATACAGAGTGCCCCCTCCTGGACCACAGGGCCACCCGGCTCTCTACCAGGTCGTTAGTGACAGGATGCCAAAATGTGTATCCGCGCATTCTGAAGCTCACGGTGTTTCGTCTGTGTTGCCTAGTATGTCGGCAGTGAAGCCCCGGGAGCGGTACTCTTGTAAGTTCTGCGGCAAAGTGTTCCCGCGGTCGGCTAACCTGACGCGGCACCTGCGGACTCACACTGGAGAGCAGCCTTACAAGTGCAAGTTCTGCGAGCGTTCCTTCAGTATCTCGTCCAATCTTCAGCGTCACGTGAGAAATATCCACAACAAGGAGAAGCCATACAAGTGTCGCCTGTGTGAGCGAGCCTTCGGTCAGCAGACCAACCTCGACCGTCACATGAAGAAGCACGAGTCTGACGGACCCACCATCCTGGACGGTAGCCCTAAGATGTACACTGCGCGACCCCGGGAAGAGGACGCGCCTGCTGTGCCAGCAGGCAAGGACCCCGTGGAGCTCAATGGCACCACAGAGAGCAGGAGTGACCTCCAAGCTCCCGAAGACGATGATGACGAGGACGAATATATTGACGTGGAGGAGGAAGATGAAGAAGAAGAGGAGGAGGAGCTGGGAGATAAGGATAGAGAAAAGATTTCGTGTGAAGTAACAATCAAGTCATCATCGAGTATATCGCCGATGGAAGTGGATGCGGCCGAGGGAGTGGTGTCGCAACCCGTAGCAGTAATATCGGCGTGAAGCCACAAAGCATTACTGGTGTCATGCTCCACTATTCTAGTGAAGAAGAACACACAGTAGATAACCTGCAGCGCCTAGTTAGCAGCCAATACGGTGACGAAACTGCTCCAAGACTTTACTGTAACTAATATGTGTGTATGTTCAGGTTCACCAGTGGAAAGAAAAATTTTATGTGCGAACTCGAGCATTTGTGGTGTGTTTGTCCATCCCGGAGTGCGGGAAGGGCCGTCGTGGGTATACTAGTTCATCGCTCTCCCTTTTGACTGCAGGGAGAGACCCTTCAACTTGCCGTCATCTCCAGGAAGAGCCCCTTCAACGTGCCCTCACCACCTGGAAGTCCTCAACGTGCCCTGCTCGTCAGGGAGAAGGGCTAGTGTATGGAGTTACAGTCCAGTTCTGCTTCCTCGCTATTCTACACCAATCTCAAAATTCATCAGCATCCTCCGAATCACGAAAAAATATCAGACTAAACATCCTAAAAGTCATCGACGCCAAAAACTAGAAGTGACTGTAAGCAAAGATGGGTATTGTAATATATCAAATATTATAACGTGCTTATTATAATACATAGAAAATGATTATATGTATACATGTATTAGTCAAAATAGCAGAGTTAGGGATGGGACTGCGACGTCCTGAAACCACCACAGAAAACATATCGTCATCATCAAGGGTAAACTAAGGAAAAAATTGCCCCAACCCTATAAACATTTGTGCCTAAGGTCTAATGAACCTTTTTTTTTATTCTACGTCTAATTCTCTCATGTACAAACCTACGCGGACTTCTGTGTATGGGTAATGAAGTGCAACATGCGTTATAGTCCTGCCATTTTGAAAGAAGAATTAAATATACGTCATATTTTCTTAAGAGATTTATATAATTCCGCAAGTGTGCTGAGAGAGAGTAAATTTTATGATGAAATTATGTTATTGTAAGTAGGCCACTGTAGTACAAGTAGAGTAAGTGTATCACCGTAGTTGTAAACCATCGAGCGGTCGTGAATCTTCAGTAAGGCTGAGGGTACCTGTCTAGTGGTTCAGTTTATGTCATACACTAAACAAGCCGTTGTAGTCGAGTTTTCTCCATGACAAACGTATAGATATAGTTTTTAGTTTCCTTTGTGAAGCGTCTTGTGTTAACTTTAAACCCTGTCGTGTGTGTGTGTGTGTGTGTGTGTGTGTGTGTGTGTGTGTGTGTGTGTGTGTACTCATCTAATTCACCTAATTATGGTTGCAGGGGTCGAGATTCAGCTCCCGGCCCCGCCTCTTCACTGAACGCTACTGAGTCCTCTCTCTCCCTGCTCCATGAGCTTTATCATACCTCGTCTTAAAGCTATGTATGGTTCCTGCCTCCACTACATCACTCGCCAGACTGTACCACTTCCTGACCACTCTATGACTGAAGAAATACTTCCTAACATCCCTGTGACTCATCTGAGTCTTCAACTTCCAAGAGTGACCCCTTGTTTCTATGTCCCATCTCTGGAACATTTTGTCTCTGTCCACCTTGTCTATTCCACGCAGTATTTTGTATGTCGTTATCATGTCTCCCCTAACCCTCCTGTCCTGTGTGGATGGAGGAATCAAATCACAGTTTCTGGTTCTTCCTCTTCGCTGGTCGCTTTTAGGTCCACTCTCTTCCGACTACTTCGTCGTACCTTTTTCTAAAGCCATGTATGGATCCTACCTCTGCCACTTTACTCTCCAAATTATTCCACTTCCTCACATCTTTAAGACTGAGGAAATACTTCCTAACATCCCTCTGATTCATATGAGTGTGTGTGTGTGCGCATATGTGCGTGCACTCACCTACTTGTACTCACATATTTGTGGTTGCAAGGGTCGAAGCTTAGCTCCTGGCCCGCCTCTTCGCTAGTCGCCACTAGGTCCACTCTCTCACTGCTCCAAGAGCCCTATCATGTGTGTCTATGTGTATTTGTATGTGTGTTTGTGTGTGTGTGTGTGTGTGTGTGTGTGTGTGTGTGTGTGTGTGTGTGTGTGTGTGTGTGCATGTGTGTGTGTGTGTGTACTCACCTAGTTGAGGGTGCAGGGGTCGAGTGTGTGTGTGTGTGTGTGTGTATGTGTGTGTGTGTGTGTGTGTGTGTGTGTGTGTGTGTGTGTGTGTATGTATGTGTGTGTGTGTGTGTGTGTGTGTACTATCCACCGAACCATCCAGACATGAGACAGCTTAACCCGACCAAACACGGTGTCTAGTACCAAGCTTACGAGACCACGACCTCACAACTCTAACAACAAACTAGATTTCTTCTTCTCACACAACTCAAATATTTCCTCTTCTCATGCCTTTACACAAGATTTTTTTTTTTCATTTAGGACAATGTACTTTATACGTAAATATACAAGTATATCTGAAGAATATATCTAGTACAATATTCTATTTTGTTATTTATTAAAACTAAAATCTCGAATATATATATATATATATATATATATATATATATATATATATATATATATATATATATATATATATATATATATATATATATATATATATATATATATATATATATATATATATATATATATATGAAATATAACATCATATAAACAATGTGCATAGAAAATTATTTTTTATTCAGTTATTATTGTTGTTATTATTATTATTATTATTATTATTATTATTATTATTATTATTATTATTATTATTATATCTTCACCGTGTGTTAAAGAACAGAGGTTTTTATAGAAATTAATTCATCATATTTGTGTAGACTGGTGACTGATGTCACGGTCCTCATCAAGACGACTGGTGACTGATGTCACGGTCCTCATCAAGACGACTGGTGACTGATGTCACGGTCCTCATCAAGACGACTGGTGACTGATGTCACGGTCCTCATCAAGACGACTGGTGACTGATGACATCAGGACGAGAGGCTTCCAAAAAAAAAAAAAACTTATTAAGCATCTGTGCTAAAATTTACGACAAAACAAGTGTGTCTTATATATCTGTATTATAACAACTGCACTTTTTAAAACCAAATGTGTCTGTTAAAACACTTTTTTCGTTAAAACAAGTGTATTGTAAAGCCACCGCTTTAAAGCATCTGTGTACACTATAGCAGGTGTTCCCATTGAAACAACTGTGCCTTTTAAACCAACTGTGCCTTTTAAACCAACTGTGCCTTTTAAACCAACTGTGCCTTTTAAACCAACTGTGCCTTTTAAACCAACTGTGCCTTTTAAACCAACTGTGCCTTTTAAACCAACTGTGCCTTTTTCAATATAAGATTATCTTAAAAGTCAGATAGGACGGAAATTATTGTTGGGAAAAATATAAGTATAGGCACGATTATCTTGTAAAATAATGAACTGTACGAAAATGAGGATGACGAGAAGCCACACGTACAGTGTATATACACCGAGGGGAGTGTATCTCAGGGTATATACAACGAGGGATGTATTTCTCTCAGTGTTAGTATATACACCGAGGGGAGTGTTATCTCAGTGGTATATACACCGAGGGATGTATTTCTCTCAGTGTATATACACCGAGGGGAGTGTATCTCAGGGTATATACACCGAGGGATGTATTTCTCTCAGTGTATATACACCGAGGGGAGTGTATCTCAGGGTATATACACCGAGGGATGTATTTCTCTCAGTGTATATACACCGAGGGGAGTGTATCTCAGGGTATATACAACGAGGGATGTATTTCTCTCAGTATATATACACCGAGAGTTTACTATGAACCCTATTTTTGGGGATTAAAGTATTGTTCTCTGGCGGCGTAAAGTTTACAGTGCAGTCTTAGTAACCATGGTGTAGTAGATAGGCTTCAAACCCTGCAAACCAAACCAGTCAACCAGCAACACCATTTGCAATTATTATATAAAGAAAAATAATCAGATTTATTACCAAAAAAAAATCATGTATAAGTCTGTTCTGAAAATTTTGCAAATCATCCTGAAACAAAAATTAAGATTTTTCTCTTTCTGCTGAATTTCTGTTGTTTCCTTTCTTACCATGACACCAAGACGCTTTTTTTTTTCTTACAAAGTCTCAAGCACATTTGTAGCCTTTGCGTTTTGAACTCGTATCCCTTTGGTTAAAACAATACTAAATCCTGCTTAGAATATGTACTACCAATAGGGACGTCAGGTTTTGTGTATTTGCTTACTTGAACCTGGCAGTGTACATCCGCTTACATGAACTCAAACAATGTGGATTCACCTACCACACGAACCCAAACAATGTAGATTCACCTACCACACGAACCCAAACAATGTGGATTCACCTACCACACGAACACAAACAATGTAGATTCACCTACCACACGAACCCAAACAATGTGGATTCACCTACCACACGAACCCAAGTAATAAGGATCCACTTGCCTACCACACGAACCCAAAAAATGTGCACCCACTTACAACTAAAATCCAATCATTGGCGTAGTTGGTGTCAAGGCAGGATCTAAACAAAGACTTTCCTTGTGTGTTTTAAATTCAGAGGCTAAGAGTAACAAATATGTTTGTGTACGATCTACATAGTGGGAGACAGTCTGGCAGACACAGACACACAAATTAATCCATATTCGATAACACTCATTGCTATTAAATGTATTGGCTAACGTTAAACAATTAGAGGTCACACAGCCTCTGCAAATATGAACAGCTATATGAATATATATATATATATATATATATATATATATATATATATATATATATATATATATATATATATATATATATATATATATATATATATATATATATATATATAAAACAAAAACAGGTTTCACCTCTGGTCTAATTATTATTATTATTATTATTATTATTATTATTATTATTATTATTATTACATGTTTAATTACCACAACTGCTCGGCGGTGTTCCGAGCCTCAACTAGTCAAGGGTCGTTCGCATGGTGCTAAGGAGAGATTTAAATTTCGTCATACAAAGACCTTTAAAAAAAATATATTCTTACTCTTAGAGATTAAAACACAATTTGTTAGTTTTGAGATGAAAATAAATGATGAGAATTAATATTTGTGTTTTGAATCCTTATTCACGTATTTTTCTTTTTTTTTTTACAGGTGAAGGGCTCTTGATTTGAGGAATAGGAGTCACCCCTCTTTTTTCCTGAATCCCTTCACTATATATTACCCTGCTCACACTCCAACAGCTCGTCAGGTCCCAAAAACCATTCGTCTCTATTCACTCCTATCTAACACGCTCATGCACGCTTGCTGGAAGTCCAAGCCCCTCGCCCACAAAACCTCCTTTACCACCTCCCTCCAATCTTTTCGAGGACGACCCCTACCCCACCTTCCTTCCCCTACTGATTTATACGCTCTCCATGTCATTCTACTTTGATCCATTCTCTCTAAATGACCAAACCACCTCAACAACCCCTCTTCTGCTCTCTGACTAATACTTTTATTAACTCCACACCTTCTCCTAATTTCCACATTCCGAATTTTCGGCATAATATTTACACCAAACATTGCCCTTAGACAGGACATCTCCACTGCCTCCAACCGTCTCCTCGCTGCTGCATTTACCACCCAAGCTTCACACCCATATAAGAGTGTTGGTACTACTATACTTTCATACATTCCCTTCTTTGCCTCCATAGATAACGTTTTGTGTCTCCACATATACCTCAACGCACCACTCACCTTTTTTCCTTCATCAATTCTATGATTAACCTC